GTAAATTTTTTCACATAAATTTCCACGCTTTAACCCTACAAGTCTGCAGATCGTTCGTAGTTCGGTGGATTCTGTGTTCTCCGGGGTTAATATCAGCCTACATGTGTTCGGTGGCGATGGTCTTCAGAGTCGTTGGCGACAAACGCAGAGCTGTTTGTCGTTATATTAAAGGGGGATTTCCAGTGAGACAGAGGAGGGCTGGTTAATCTCACTAATGCAATTTAGCCCCATCAATTGCAGACAAGAAATTGGATCCGTTTGCATTGTTTATGGCTTATTACGCGCGATACTGACTGAAACAATAATAATGCGATTGGCCTGCGTCGAGCGATTTGTAGATATGAGAAGTTAAAGCTGCTCTCCCAGATTTTTACTGATTTAAAACGGGAAAATAATCATCTTAAAGGGCCCATATTATGCTATTTTCTGATTTATGTTATAATGTTGTGATCACAAACAGACCTGGAGCTGTGGAATGATTCTTTCACACATGTTTAACACACAAACCCTGAAGATTTAGATTGAGTTCAAATTAAAATATGTTTTCTTCTCCAAAACCAAAATGAAAAAACAGATAATGATTTGTTTTTTCAGTTTTCGATTTTGTGTTTAAATGAATAATGGCCGTTTCACGTTTCTGTGACTTAAACTGCGATGCCAGACTGAACCAGGACTAAAACAGGACTAAAAAAGGACTGAAGCAGGACTAAAACAGGACTGACTGAAGCAGGACTGAAGCAGGACTGAAGCAGGACTGAAACAGGACTGAAACAGGACTGAAGCAGGACTGAAGCAGGACTGAAGCAGGACTGAAACAGGACTGAAAACAGGACTGAAGCAGGACTGAAACAGGACTGAAACAGGACTGAAGCAGGACTGAAACAGGACTGAAACAGGACTGAAACAGGACTAAACCGGTCTCAGCCCTGGTCTGGTCCCGGTCTCAGTCGTGGTCTTAGTCCAGATCTGGTCCTGGTCTCAGTCCTGGTCTGGTCCCAATCTCAATCCTGGTCTCAGTCCTGGTTTCAGTCCTGATCACCCCACAGTCTACGTGGGTGCACCTCCAGGCCCGTCCCGACACTCAGTTCTGATTTAGTCCTGTTTAGTCCTGTTTTTAGTCCTGGTTCAGTCCTGGTTCAGTCCTGGTCAGTCCTGGTTCAGTCCTGGTTCAGTCCTGGTTCAGTCCGGCATCGCAGTTTAATTCACCTAAACGGGAAATGGCCATCATCTGTTTTTTCCATTCTTCATTTAAACACAAAATTGAAAACTGAACAGACAAATTGTTATCATTTTTTTTCATTTTGGTTTTGGAGACAAATAATGAAGAAAACTGTTTTTTGTTTTTTTTCATTTTCTTATTTTTGGTTTTATTTTGAAAAACAAATGAACAAATGACACATGGATTCACTACTCTGTCTGTCTGAAGCTCTGTTACTCAACTTACACTTTAATATGGTAATTATTTTAACACAATCTAACTATAAAGGTCTGATTTAAATGAAATGGTGTTTGCTTTGTGTCACCATAGTAACAACTGAACATTCTGCCATAGACATACATGCACGTGCAATTTACCACGCTAATATTTGACTGTCTGTTTGGGAATAAAACCTCCGACTTTCTAACATTTATTAATTTTGCACTGAACATACCAGACCTTACACTGGTACAAACATTTATTGATGACTTCTGAACAAATTTTGCAGAGCTTTCTTCAAAAGTTCTAAAAATTTGTGTTATTTTATTTTATTTTTTTCATTTTGCTTTGTCTCGGCAGCTACTCACAAGCCTTGCATTCTTCTCGCAGAAAATAACTAGCTTCTCCGGTAGTTTTTCAAATCTCCCCTTAGCTATATTAGTCTTTTTTGTCTTGAAAAATGCTCTAACTTTCTTCCAATACTGCAGTTGTTTCCAAACTTTATAAATATTTTTGTTTTCGACCACATTCAGAGTTGGATGAAGTAGCAAAAAATTCAACTTCTTTCTTTCTTTAAGGGCCGTTATTACGCTGTTTTCTGATTTATGTTATAATGTTCCTCATCAAAAACAGACTTGGAGCTGTATTTTGTTTCATTATCACACGGTTAACACACAAATTCTGCTTCTCTCAAACGGAAAACGCTCTGTTCCACCTTGTGATGTCATGTGGTAATACAGGAAGTGCTCCACCGTGGTAGAACTTTGAACTTTATTGCCAAAAGTGCAAAAATCACTGCCAATTTACACTGTAACAAACAATAGCAAGTGTCGAGATTGGACTCTAAACCCCGATTATATGTGAATAAATACAGTCGACAGGTGAGGTATACAAATAAAAAAATTTAAATTAAAATGCTCACTCAAATAGAGATGCGACCATTGCTTTAAAAAATATCCAATTTAAGTTGAATTTGTGCAGTCAGACATTACATCTGATAGACATACTTTCATTTTTGTGTCCATTGAACATTGGTAGGTGGAACTGGCTTAAACCAATTCAGTCTGGATGTAACAATAACCGAAATATCGTGATATCATATCGTCAAAGTTCTTACAATAATATCGTGGACCATTACAATATTTCGAATCACAAGTCTCTTTGCTTAAATTAAGAGTTATGGTGCAGCAATAGCTAAAAAACAGAGGGAACTACATAGACCATGATCCTTTGCTTCATTTCAGCGCAGACTACAAGAAGAAATAACAGTTCTAAGCACTTTTAAGTCCTAGTTCGTTGGATTAAGTCTTGTCAAGGCATTTTAAGAGGAAAAAGCAGCATATTTACAGTTTTGTTAACCTCCACTAAATCTCGCAATAAATATACAGTGACATGTGTATCGTAAAAATATCGTACGAAGAGATTTGGATATTGTTACATCCCTAATTGTGAGTATCACGCAGGTAAACTGGACTGAAATGCAATACAAGGGCAAAGACAAACAAAGTCTTATTTAAATAACTGAAAGTGTCCTATAACAGGGAGTGTATATAATGGCAACTCAGACTGAAAATGTGAACGAAAATATCTTCCAAGACTGGGAAATACGCTAGTAAAAAATGGAAACTCAGGAACAGGGACAACAAAAAGGGAAAAACATAGAATGACAGAAGTTGCAAACAGATCAGATTCAGGGGTAAGATACAGGGTTTTCAGATTTCAGGTTTTCAGGAGCTTGAGTGTCTGTCTTTGCAGGTCAACAATCTGGCAAAGAGTGAGTGAGCAGGAGGAGTGTGTAAAGACTAGCCTGGGCTGATTAGGGAATGAGTGGCAACTGTAGGAAAAGGAGGGAGGCAGCAAAAGGAGGACCGGAACAGACTGGGAAACGGAGCTGGACTGGGGAAAACATGCAAACAAAAGGCAGAACTGTGACAGTGAGCCTCCCCATCATATCTACCTCCCACGGGCAGAGTTCGAAAAAGTGATCCATGCTTTCGTGACGTCACGCCTGGACTATTGTAATTCTTTATATGTAGGGTTAGACCAGGGCTCCCTGCAACGCATACAACACGTCCAGAACGCTGCAGCTCGTCTGCTGACAAATACTAAAAAATGTGAACACATCACACCTCTTCTGTGTGACCTGCACTGGCTCCCTGTCCTATACCGGGTGCAATTTAAAATGTTGTTAATTGTTTTCAAATGTCTGCACTCCATGGGTCCAGTCTACTTGAGGGAGTTACTGCAGCCCTATACTCCCCCCAGAGCCCTGAGATCAGCCGACCAGCTCCTGTTGGTCGAGCCCAAAACTCGTCTCAAGACAAGAGGTGACAGAGCTTTTTCTGTGGCAGCGCCCAGACTATGGAATTGCCTTCCTCTTGCTGTCAGATCCTCTCAGTCTGTAACGCAGTTTAAGACAAGACTGAAAACTCACCTCTTCTCCCTGGCATTTAGTACGAGCTAGTCAGGTTATCTTGGTAGTTTTAACATGTTTTCTGTATATTTGTATATGTAACTGTTTCTTCTATGCTGTTGCTGTTGACTTGTATGTGAAGCACTTTGGTCAACTGAAGTTGTTTTAAATGTGCTATATAAATAAATTTGAATTGAATTGAATTGAATTGAATATCGTGAGCTTTCCCTCCGATATCGCAATAAATATCGTTCCGTGAAGTTCATACCGTGACAATATCGTGTCTTGAGACTTGGATATCATTACACCTCTACAATTCAGGGTCACTATTTTCATTGCCACTAATAGAAGTACGTGTAACATGCTCTGTTGGTCCCCAGTGAGTGAGTTTCTAGGATATAAGTCAAGCAAAGATAAAAGAGGGTCCACGGGGACATTTGCTCTAATAGTGTCTTCGATCTTCTCCTTGATACTTTCCCAAAATGTTCTTATTTTTCGGGCAGTTCCCAAAAATATGGATGTGGTCTCCAACCGTAACAACATTCTCTCCAGCTCTTGTCAGCGGTGGTGGTGGTGGTGTCTTAATCATAAATGTCTTTAACGGGGTTCTGAAAAATCTTGAGTTTTGTTTTCCAATCGAACTCTCTCCAGTTTTTCCACTGAGTTTTTAAACTCCATTATGCACCTTTGGTAGAATCATTTGGACGATTTCAGCCCTGGAATTGTCAGTCTCTATTAAACTAAAGGTCAAAGGGAGCTGTTAACTTGAAAACTACCACTTCATGACATCACAAGGTGGAACCAGAGCATTTAGAGCTTTGAAGATGTAGACTAAATAATAATAAAGAGTTACTTAAACACGTGTGAATGAAACAAAACACAACTCCAGGTCTGTTTTTGAGGAGATAACAACATTTTAACACGACTCAAAGCTCACAAGAGTCAAATTTGTGTAATATTGGATGATTAAAATCCATAGTTTTAACTTTAGTATCGATTAATATCTGATTTCAGTATTTTTTTTCGTTATACCCCCAGAAAGCAACAACTTTCTTCCAATCCTTATTTCCAAACTCTCGTATATTTTTGTTTTCGAGCACCTTTGAGGGTTGCTGAGCATGTATGTGTCCTAAGCGCTAACCTTGTGTCCTCGTGTCCTCGTTGCCGTAGGATACCGGAGGGGCAGGCTGAGGCGGGCTCTGTGGCTGCCGGACGACTGCGCTCTCTGGAAGACCAGCTGACCCGAGCCAAACAGAAAATCCACAACTTTCAGAAACTCACAGGAGACGGTAAGAATGCAAACACAAAAAATTATGACGAATGGTTAACGAAATGAAATATGAAAGTGGGATTTTCTGACAAATATTAGTTTTGTGTTGTAGTACAAGTGTGAATTGTTTGGATTTATAAGTTATTTAATATCAAGATTGAGTTTGTAGTGCATAAACAAGTCTCATGCCTTACAGAACCTAAAATTACTGGGTTTGCTTTTAGACAGAATTAGAGCCCATGGAGGCAAGAAATTTACTTCTTTTAAATAGCTGGAATATGTAACTCTTCAGGTAGGGGATTTCTGAGGAGATTATTGCCTGAAATTTTTCACAAAGGTGCAATTTAATCACTTTAATTAGTTACATACCATAAGAGAGAGACATACTTTATTGATCTAAAAGGGTAGTTCAAGTTTTGCTGCAGCAACATTTCCACTGTACTAAGCCTATAGCGTCTCCAGGGTAGCCGTGGGGTCTTAAAAGTCTTAAAAAGGCCTTAAATTATGTTGTCCAAGTCTTATTTTTTTCACAAAGGTCTTAAATGTCTTTGTAAACTCAACAGGGCTGCAGTGCAATGTTAAATGGAGGGAGGGGAAAAAAAAACAATGTGAAATCTCATCATGTGAATGTAATTTGGAGTATGCACAAGCAATACTTTGGTTTCTGGCTCCGGCGGCAATGAGTAAACAATCAGTAGAGTGGAGGAAGACGCTGGATGGATCATGGGGAAGTGTCGGTTTAATCCACAGTGGCTCTTAGATTCTAGATATAGTAGTTGTGTCATGTTTTTGGGATAAAAGACATCATTTCATAAGGTTCATATTTCATAAGTTAATAAGTCAGTTAAAAGTAATAAATAAGTTAATTCATTGGTAATTAAATACGTTTATTTCATGTTGCCAAACTGTTAAAAATATTTGGGTAAGGTTGTCAGAGTGGGACATCTTCACCATTGAGGATCGTTTTGTTTTTCGTGCAGAGTGAGCGCTCTTGTGTTACATATGATCTTTGACGTTTTTCTCGGCACAAATGGAGCAGTTTCACGGCAGAAGTCCGTATAACTTTCTTGTACACGCTGATTTTGTTTCTAACGTTTGAACCTTGGCAAATTTTCGTCTTTGTAAGTATTTGAGAGTTCACAAGCACTTGTTTGGGGCTGTGTGTGTGTTTTCTTTCTTTTCATATGAATATTGGAACTTTTTGCTAACTACTGCAGTAATACACATGTATAAGCTAGCTACTTATATTTGTACATCAAACGTGCTGTGTAGTTAGTAATGTGCATTTCTTTTTCTGTATGTTTCAGTTACTATATTAATGTATCACCACATGCAAGAGACCTCCATAAAACAAGAAAAGTACGCCTTGTGTACGGAGCTTTCTTTATTAGTTCGCTGGCTGTCTAGCTTCACCCAGTCACGTGTCGTGAGGACAGCACAAGTTGGTTGGTCATTATTAGAATTGAATCCGCCCACATAATGGGTGCAATGTTGGTCTTAATTTAAGTTGTCTTAAAAAGGTCTTTAAAAAGTCTTAAATTTGGGATGGTCAAACTTGTGGATACCCTGATCTCACATGTCCATAGCTCTTGCACAGTCTCCATGGAGAAGGAAAAAACAAACAGCTCTCTTACTTTGTGTCCTTAAAACCAAAAAGTAAAAAAAAAAAAAATCCCAGCGTATGAGTCAGGTAGCCGCAGAAGCTGTTGTCATGGCTAAAAGCTAAAAACCCAAACTAAAGTCTGAGTGCAGCTCAACAGGTGGAGTGTCCTGTGTCAGGGCAGTTTGAGGAGAGGAACAACCCTCAATTTAATGCCAAACTATGAAATTCCAGCCAAAATAACATCTTCATGGAGACAAGAAGGTGTCGGACCCACAATCATTTGTTCCTCAGATTACTGTGGGTTTTTTCGGAAGGTTCAGTGCGTGTCCTAAAAAGAAGCACGGGAGATGGAGAATCCGAGAGAACAGGCCACTTTATTTCAGCATTTCCATTGAGAGAGATTCAAGTTGATTACCAAGTACAACTGCCACCCCGGAACGACGCCTCTGACCAACTCAAAATCAGGGGTAGCTTTATACTACATCTTGACAAAACATTAACTTGTTGATTTAGCATATACAGCAAGAAAATGAACAATACTGCTGACCCAGTGCACCTTATCATGGGTGGGAACATGCCACGGGGTCCACATATGTCAGTTTTTCTGCTTCGTGGCATCTCAAAGTCCAGAAAAACATGTTCTTTATGGCACTCAAAGTACAGAAAAAACATGTTATATAGACCTATAGATAGTCATACGTGTTTTCCACCCTGTTGTCATTCCAAAGTCCATAATATTGGGTGAATTAGCATGACCAACACATAATATTTCCCACATTACCAGTAATCAGAAACTTTAACCAACAGAAACTTCTTTAAGGCTACACTAAGGTCACTTAAAGTCATCAGGTACCTCTTGTTTCCATAGGTGCAGGTAAATAGGCAGACAGCTGGTGCGTTAGACTCTAAACAAATCCTCTAGCACTTTAATTGTTATGACGCTGGATAGACACATAACATTAGCTACCACCTCGCTGCCTGAATTGATCCCCAAGGACTGAAAAAAATAGTCTGTTTTTTTGCTTTGCTTTTTTTTTACCAACCAAGCTACCGTTAAAGGTCTCATATTGCACAAAATCGAATCTTGTGAGCTTATCTCATCAAAAACATACCTGTGTTGTGTTTTGTTGTACATATCTGTCCATTGATCAAGCAGGCGATGCAATCAGGATACAAAAGGTCAGATCTGTGTAGAGCTGACAGGCTTACACGAGAACACATGTTTCTCCATAAAAACACATGTAATTGAACAAGTACAATATATATCTGTGTACAGTGGTCCCTCGTTTATCACGGGGGTTACGTTCTAAAAATAACCAGCGATAAGTGAAGTCCGTGAAGTAGCCAGCCTTATATTTTTACAATTATTATATCTGTTTTAAGGCTGTAAAACCCCTCACCACACACTTTATACACTTTTCTCACACAGGACGGTTACAACTCTTTTTGCATCCTTCTTAAAACTCATTACTGCTGTCGTCCTTTTGTTATTTTCGTTCTTTATGAAACAAACTGAAGATTCATTTATTCCGTAATGGAGCCCTACAGCGCAGAGTCCTGCACAGGTCCATTTTTGGAGACTCGTACCCGCCCATTAAAGGTTGTATAGAGGATTTTTTAAGGGAAGTGAAATACAGCGACAGTCCTTTTTCAAATGTGCATTCATGACACCACCGTCCTCCTCCACAGCTCCCTCAGTAGAAACACCTCCTCCCGCCTCTTTACTCTAGAAATCACACGTGTTTACATCCAGTGCGCGTTCAGAAGTACTGTTCAAGTGATCTGTCTAGAAATATTTTAGCGAGCGACACGTCAGTTTTTAGACCCTTCGTCTGTTTCTTTCGCGCTATCACTGGAAGGAGTCTCCAAGAATCACCTCAGTTTGTCTTCGCTCCTTTCCCCCTTCTTCTCTTCTTCTTTCAGCGACCTCAAAATCCAACTTTCTTTTGCAGCGAACTGGTCGTGGATTCTCATTCGACATTGCAAGGAAGCGACAGTTTGAAATAGACTCTAAGAACCGCTGCATAAACCACATAATCCCCGCACGCCGACAAGTCAGTTACACTAGAAACATAGGGAGTTTGATTGACAACCTAACAGCCATAGATAAAGAGGGAGCCTTGTTTTCTATTGGCTGATGTTTATCTCACTATGTCCACAGTTGATAGATTTTCATTCTTTTTTTTTTTTTTTTTGGTCATCATAATTACAAGGCTGCTGCATCTCTGTAATGGTATTTTAAACTTTCAATGACAATTTGAAACAACAAAAAAATCCTCTATACAACCTTTAACCCGAGATTATATCAAACTTTTGTGCTGCATACACCACGGACTGAACCAAGACTAAACCAGGACTAACCCAGGACTAACCTAGGACTGATTCCAGGACTGAAGAGGAGAACTAACCCAAGACTGAACTAGGACTAAAATGGAAGTTAAACAGGAGTTAAACAGGACTAAACCAGGAGTAAACCAGGACTAAACCAGAACTAAAACAGAACTAAAACAGGACTTGCTGTCGGGACGGGTTCGGAGGTGAGAAAGGACTGGCTCAGCTCCGCACCTTGTGCTTTGCGGACACCCTGCTTCAATGTTCTCTCTCTTAAGTCCAAGATTAGTCCTGGTTTAGTCCTGATTTAGTCCTGACCCTGCCATGTGTAATGACTACCCGCCCGTGAAATTCCAAACATTAAAACCCACCCGTTTCAGCAACTATTTGCGGGTAGTCCAACTTTTTGTGCGACGGTTTGCATCTCCCTCTGCCTTTTGGGTGCGACCACGGGAGTCTTTGTCGGTGCAGAACGTTTCGTCGACATTGTGGGTTTTGTCGGGGAGAAAACGTAGAGACATACAGCACTTCAGAATCACACTGCTAGAGACCGAACATTTATGTAAATTTGTTAAACTGAACACATTCTGGACTGTACAAGAGACACGGCTTGGAGGTGAGTGATTGACAACTATCTGCAGTCTCTTAGCCAATCAGGACGCAGGGTGAGGAACACAATGTGCATTCATACGCTGTAAAAAAAAAAAAAAGGCACGCAAAACTGCACTAAAAGAAATCCGCGAAACAGTGAGACCGCGAAAGGTGAACTGCGATATAGCGAGAGACGACTGTAATCCTTCAGCGGCCCATTTGTGTACACTAGTCTACGCGCTCCTATACGCTTAGCTTTTCTTTATTTTTTCCACGATTGACCCGAGCAGGAGCAAAATAGAAGCAGTCGGTAACAGCAGATATTCCGGTTTTAAAAGCTGTACCTAATAAACCGGCCGCGGAAGGCATTTCTAGGTGAAGTTTCTTGATCTAGCCCGCGGTCAGTTCAAGATCAGCTAAGTACTAAATCTCCTTCTCGCCTAGAGTGACGATGATAGCCGACTTTACTGGAATAGACGAGGTTATAGGCCCTG